TTTTTTTTTTGCTGTTAACTTCAGGCCAGGGGGCCTCACTTGAAGAGGTGATAATAGCATCCCCTTCAAGTGGGTCCCTGTGTAGAAGACTCCATCTATTGGTGGGGAGCTGCACCTGCTGGAAACCGGGTCCAGCGTCCCTCAAACATTATTGTCCAATAATCAAAGAATCTGCTGGAAAACGGGTCCAGCGTTCCTTAAACAGTATTGTCCAATAATCAAAGAATCTGCTGGAAAACGGGTCCAGCGTCCCATAAAGGAATGTTACGAATCTGACTCAGCTTCCATGACTGAGGTGATCAACTTGTTGGGAAACCAGGCCCAGTGCCCTCAACGTCCCTAATGGATCTGCTGAGAAGCGGGCTCAACGGCCCTAATGAATTTGCTGAGAAACGGACTCAGCGTCCCTTTGTCTGATGGAGAATAAATTGCTGGAGAACAGGCCCAGCGTATCAGGTGGCTTAGCTGGGAAACGGGCTCAGCGTCCCTTCATCTGGTGGAGGATAAATTTGCTGGGAAACGGGCCCAGCGTCCCTTATTGGAATAGAGCAATATTATTGCTCTTCTAAAAATGTCAGGATTGAGTGGCTCATGGTTATCTCTCGTCCTAATTAAGGCTCAAAATAATGTATTCTGAGGACGGCAGTAAGCCTTCAGTTTAGCTGTTTGTGATGCCGCTACTATCTCTAACCTAGACTGTACAATATGTACAAAATATTCACATCACTTTCTAATATCAATCTGGTTCTATAGCCCATGTCTTCCTTGCTTCCAACAGCCGGCTGAATATGAGGCGGCCTTTGAGATCTGGGATAGCCCAACAGTACCCCTTCGTCCAGATCTTCTGGAATTTCTCTTTCTTCTTCTCCTCCGAGAGTTTGGACTGGGAGATTTTTCGCCAGTCTGCCTGTATTACTTCCTTCAGACCTCGCAACATCTGTGTTTGGATCCTGTTCAGAGAATATTCCTCATTAGAGAAGCGTACTCTGTTCCTTTCTAGCCAGAGGAACCACATGCCCAGCATTCTGGAGATGTACACCGCTCTGGGAAGGGACATATCTATCCCTCCCAAAATCACCTTCTTGTTCCACTCTCTGYCTCCAGATGYATGTCGGTAGGCCTGGGACCAGATGGTCTGCCACCAGTTCCAGAGATCCTGGGCTCTGGGGCATGACCACCATAGATGGTGACTATCCTCTATCTGAGGACCTTCACAGTGGGAGCAGAACAGACTGACATTCATTCTCTTGGTMACACACCACTTGCCTGTAGGGACACTTTGATAAATCGCTAACCACTCCAGGCTGGCCATTTTCACCACTGGGAATTTCTTGAGATTCTTCCCAAGGTCACAAATCCACTTGAATGAGGCCCSGGGGRGATCCAGCATTTGCTGRGATTTATCCCATGATTCTTTAACCTTGAGGGTGAGCTCGTTGGCTCTAGATTTCAATCTGTATCCCAATGAGGCAGAGTACTCAGAGATTGTAACCACCGATTTCTCCTGGTTAACGTGTCTCCAACCTGTAGCTGTCATGTCAGTTTTGCAGGATAACAATGGAGTACCGTTCATCAAAGGGAAGAAGTGTGATACTTCTCCCCTTGGCGTGTCTTCCAGTTTCTCATTAACTATTATCTGCAAAACCTCTTCCGAGGACAGAGTGAGTAGATGTTCATCCTTATGCAGTTCTGCCCCTTTTAAACTCCATTCTGAGCAGACCATTTGGTTGGTTGTCATCAATCAAGGATTCCACTCTTAGAAAATTGGAGCTGGCTGATTGGTCCGTCACCCAGGTCCCTTCCGGGAAAGGATTCTGAGTTAGTAACAATAGCCAGTCCTGGGGAACTGCATTTTGGATCAACATCAGACAATTCTGAGCATTATTGATCCCTTGGAGTGTCTCTCTCAAGTCTCTACCTTCCTTCCATGCCCTGTGTTCCTGATCCCAGAGGTGATTGATGCGGTAAACCCCTTTCCGTATCCATTTAATGTCGAAACCACCCTTAGATTCAGAGCTTCTGAAGGTAGACCCAGACGGGGTGCGCAGCCAGGAGTTTTCAAAAATAGGCTGCGTCAGTACCTCATCCCTAGTACCTGGGGCCTTGGTTGTAGCCGGAAGCATTGATTTCCAGGCTTTAATGATTGGCTTCCAAATAGGTGAATGCACTTTCCTATTGAGCATAGGCTTCATAAGAAGACACTCCCAGATGTCAGCGGGGTTTTCCAAACCCCATTCATCGGCAAGGATCAATTCCATCAAGCTAGACCAGGGTTTGGGGCCCGGATCCAGCAAGCCTCTGATTACCCACTTGGCCAGTTGGGCCTGATTCTGGGTTGCTGGGTCTAACAGACCCAGCCCACCGTCGTTCTTCTTCTGCGTGATTTTCCACCATGCTACCTTGGGGAGAAATCTGTCACAGGACATCGATCCTTTCCACAAATATTTAGAGATACCTTTCTTAATTTTTTTGGCTGCACCTTGTTCGAGTTCACGAAACGAGAGCACGTACCAGATTGTGGATAAGACCATAACATTGATGATCAGCGCTCTGCCAAAGAGGGAAATTGACCACACTTTGGACCAAGAGACCAACCGATCATTTATCTTATCCTCCAAGAGCTGGTTTTGCTTAGCTGTGCAATCCTCATACGATATCTCTATACCAAGGAATCTTTCAGATGTGCTGCTACTTCTAGCTTCCATTCCCAGATCGATTGCCAACGGTGCATTGTCCCTGGTGAGGACCACTGATTTATTCCAACTCACCTTGACCTCCAAGGCTTTTTCGAACACCTGCAAGCATCTGGAGACTTCCTGTAGGGAAGATGCTGTGTTGTCTGAGATGACTGAGAGGTTATCTTCCAATGCTGATGTCCTGATCTTCAGAACTGGACTTACCTTCAAACCCCTAAAGTCGTGGGATTCTCTTATCATCTTGAGTAGAACTTCATGTTGGAGAACGTAGAGCAGAGGTGTCAATGGGCATCCCTGTCTCAGAGATCTGGTGAGACTAAAGGCTTCAAACTTGAAACCATTGACTATAACCGATGTGTTAGATCCCTCGTATAGGACTTTGACCCATCTTCGGTAGTTAGGGCCAAAGCCCCTTCTACGCAGGACTTCCAATACAAAGGCCCAGTTAACTCTATTGTAGGCTTTTTCAAAGTCTATCAATAAAATTATTTCATTGGATTGCCTCTTTTTAATGATCTCCATGCTCTGAGCTATGGTCATCACATTGTCCAAAACTTGTCTCCCCTGCACAAACCCAGATTGATCCGGGTGGGTTAAGGATGGTAAAATCTTTGCTATCCTTATGGATAGGGCTTTGACCATGATTTTACCGCTGGCATTTAGGAGTGTGATAGGCCTGTAATTTCTCACATCTGCTCTGTTGTTCTTCTTGTAGAGCATGGTAATAGCACCCTCCATCATGTCAGTCCCTAGAGTGGCCCCGAAAAGTACTGCGTTAAAAACTCTCAGTAGAATTGGGCCAAAAATTGCCCAGTATCTTGAGTAAAATTCTATCGGCAGGCCGTCTGGGCCTGGACACTTACCTCTTGCCATGTTAGACATGATTGTAGATAGCTCTTCCAAGGTCAATTCAGCATCCAAGAAGTTCCGTTCATCGTCAGATATGGATTCTTCCTGCGTACCCCACAGTTTACCTTCGTCCTCCTCCAGAATAAGCGGTGCATCCGGGTTTTTCTCAGAAGTCAAAAGGTGGGCATAGAACAACCTGAAATACTCACAAATATCTTCAGTGGATTTAGCAATCGGGGCATTGGTCTGAAAGGGGTGTGCCATCTCCCTCATCATTGCGCTGCCTCCTTTCGACGATGCCTTGGCGAAAAAAGTTTTGGACATGTGGTCACCTGTTAGGATTTTTGACACAGAGGAATATCTGGCTCATGCCTCCTCTCTTTGTATCTGAAATTCCTGCCAGTTGTGCAGTGTCCTATTTCTTTTTTCAGTCCAGTAGTCCAATTCCGGGCTGTCTTGGATCATGTGTTTCTCCGCTATTTCCATCTTTCTTTTGAAATCCTCTTCTTTCCGGTTCCTTTCGTTGGCAAGGATGAATTGAAACGTGCTCAACCAGTTGGTTGTTTCCCTGATCCCAGCATCCAAATGCTGATGGTAGGGAATTTCCTCGCTTTCCTCTTTCAGCCATTGGCCCCAATATTCGTTTACCCATTGTGATATCCCGTCGTCCTCAAGGATATGTACGTTTAGCCGGAATAGCCCTTGCTTATGGACTGTAATGTTGGATGTGGTCAAGTCCAGGGATATCGGTTTGTGATCTGATAACGGGTCTAAGTGAACTTTGGTGGAAAGGACCTTGTCCCAAATTGGGTCCCTTACAAACCAATAGTCAAGTCTTCGTTTAACCGGAGGGCCAGATGTTGCGCACCATGTGAAAGAAATTATGTCCGGGTGGAGGGAGCGATACACATCCCTCAACTCATGGGCTCTTAGGAATTCCTTTAGGGTCCTGCTGTTAGTGTTATTCCCATTACCGTTGGATGAGTCAAGATGCGGGTCCAAAGGAATATTCCAGTCTCCTCCAATAATGAGATTAGGGGAGTCTGAAATAATATAACCAATTGTCTCCATGAATTGAGACCGCTCTCCGTGATCTGATGGGATGTACATGGACAAGAACGTCCATTCTTCTCCTTCTAGGAGAAGTTTCACCCAGACCCATTTACCAAATGAGTCTTGCGACGTGTCAATTATCATGACATTAAAGCTGCTGTGAATGAGGATGGTTGTGCCACCTCTAGAGCCTTCGGCAGGCGCCCACCATTGTGGGTCTGTCCACCATCCACCCAGTTTGCAAATTTTCTCGGTGTTCAATTTTGTCTCCTGAAGAACTATGATCTGAGCATGGTTCTTGTGGATCCATGTTTTCAGACGTGCCTTCTTTTTCTCTTTCCCTTTCCTGTCTCCAAGCCCCCGCACATTCCATGAGACAATTCGGAGTTTGTTATCAGATATTGTCTCTTTCTGTAAGGCCCCTACCTTGGATAGGCTGACTTTGCTGTTGAGACGGTGCAGCCTGGGGTTCCATGATTCATGGAGCTTTTATGAGCTCCTTGAAATGTTTGGAACCGAAGTTCCTAGTCTTACCCAGTTGCTGGTTTAACGTAGAGAAGTATGTTCCCCTGATGCCATCAGTAACTAATGTTAGGTGGAGGTCGGAGGTTGAGGATGTACGTAGCCACCGGGATGTTACCCAGTGCAGACCTGCATCAACGATTCTCGCATCTGTGTCAGGGCTCATTTGAGCTACGAAAAAACCAGTGTATAGTAGATAAATTTGTCCAGAAGCACCAAACTGAGTTCCGCTCCTTATCAGTCTGTAGCCTGGTATCTGGCGGATATCATATCTACCAGCTAAAAATTGGCATACTCTTGCTTCAATTATTACTAAATCAGGAGTTTCCTCCACATGCCAGGCAGGTATCAGGAAAGGACCCGTTTGCGGGGGTACTAGCAACCATTGAGCTTCCGTGGGGATGTCTCTGAATATCAGAGGGCAGATCATATTTTGAATCTTCGTGTTCCTCTCGAGGTCCTTCTTGTTGATTGTTCTCATTTCTGAATCTCTGTTTGCTGTCTCCAGGCACATCTGTCCCCTGTGTGCCTATGCCGTCCTGCAGTGAAGCTTCCTGATGAATGAGAAAATTCTCAAGGGTGGAAATCATGCGATTTACTATGCCGGGTTGGCGTGAGCCAGGTGCATCGCCATGGGGGAGGGAATAACCATTCCACTGGATATACATCTGATTTTGCCCCTGGTCATCTGACAGAGTAGCGCGGGCGAATTTGGAGGGAGAAACACAGACATTGCCTTCTGACGTTTCTGTTCCAACCCCTTGTATTCTCTCTGTGAGAATTGCTAGACCATCATTCTTCTTGTAAGCATTCTTATGCTTGCTGTTTGTCCGACCAGTGGACGATACGCCCATAGTCCGTTTGACAGTGTTTGGTCTATCCACCCCTCTCCCCCCGCTTATTGAGCTGAACAAGGGGAGGTGGGGAGAGGTGGTGTGTCCTCTAGCTGTGCTAGAGGATGTTCTGTTCTGACCAACTGATCCGCCTCTATTGCCCCCCATCAGTCGGCTTGGAACAGAGGATGAACCCGGCATACCCATGGTTGGGTTTGAGTTGCCTGCAGAATGATCCTGCTGTGTTGTGCCTGAGGGCATTCCAAAACCTGAACCAGGCTGAAAGCCTGGGGTAGCAGGAATGAAGCCCGTGAAGTTTGGTGTTGATGCAGCCATGGTGGGAATGTTTGTAGGCAGCAATGGTGATACCGAAGTGCCCGCGGGAATAGATCTTGTGGCCGTACCTGTTGTACCGTTGCCAAGGGTAGTATTATTCGAGGGCGCTGGGCCTCCCGGCATTGGAGTCACTGTTTGCTGCACGGTCGTGGCAGTGGCTCCTGAGGTGGAACCAAAGGTGGTCTGAATAGGCTGATTGTGCTGGAAGGGTGTCCGTGCATAGACATGATTGTTTTCACAATCTTTCCATTCATGTCCGTACCACTTACAGTGGCGGCAGAATGGGGTGAGATTGCTTACCAAATCAGCCGTACACAGATCCATTCCAACCTGCACTTGAAAGGGTTGGATTTCAGGGCCAATATTGTTTTCCGACCCAGGGGCCAATCCGAACTTGAAATTCACCAGATGTGGCTCTTCTAGATCCTGCATAGGATCTAAATCCTTTACCACTTTTCCAACAGCCATATTGACCATGGTCCGTATATTGGAGAACGCTCCCAGCGGTACTCTGATCGCCATTACCCAACAATTCTCTCTTCTATCCCTGTCCCTGAATTCCTCCCATTCCTTCTTTGGCATCCATGGCCGAACCAAAACTTTATGCCACTTATTGTTCACTTTGAATTTAATAGAATCCTTTCGGTCTTTCAGAAGAAGGTCTCTGATTTCCGTAGATCTTGCTATGTAGGATATCATGTGGCGACCTTCGATATGTGTCGTACCCTTCCCCAGTGCCAAAAATTTTGGCTTGAGTTTTCCTCCTTCGAGATTTCTGATAAAAAGAAGCTTCTCCGCTGTGGTGAGATTCTTACTGTTCCCTTGGAAGGCAAAAACGACTGTGTGCTTTTTGAGCCACTGGACTTGGATTCGGTTATACTCCTCACACGGAGTAGCTGAAATAACTCCGTTAACGCGGGTTACACGCAGGAATTTGAAAATATCAGGGATATGTCCTTGCGAGTAGCACTCGTTAAGCATTGCTCTAAGTCGAGCTTCTTCTTCGGCGTCAATCGGTTCATTCCATTGTTGTGCTAAATCCGGAGGGTTTGGAGCCTCTGGCTCCATCTTGCTGCGAGTGGTACAAAATTCGTAAACTACCAGAGGTAGTGCTACCCCGGGTGTATACAAGATCTTTGTGTTAGCTAACAGTTGGCTACTATGATAGGATAGTTAGCTGGAATGGATAAGGTCCATCCTGTTGTTAGGATGTGTAGTGTCGTGATCCCTCGGAGGGAAGTAATGAATAAGTGAACTTATTGGTATGCCAAAATCTCCCAAAGTGAGACTGGGGATTAGTCTGTCTCTGTTGTAGATTTAGCGGACTTAGTTAGCGGAAAAATTGGTGAGATTTGAGGGGAACAGGGTTTGGGAAGGAAAGTAAAGAAAATGTTCGAATTGTGGATAGAGAGAGAGGAAGAGTGTGGACGTGTAAGTCGGTGTGGGGGAAAGGAGTAGGAGAGGGAGGGGGCACAATGGATATGGACGTGTTGGAGGTTGAGGAGGAAGTAGGGTGGGATAAAGTAGATGGGATGAGAGGAGGGTAGTTGGTTTGGGGTCAGACCCAAAAACGGGGTGGGAGATAATATGGGGGAAGAATATTTAAAGGAGAAAAGTTAGGTGAAGTATATTTGTGTTTGGGAATACGAAGTGGGGAGACGGTTTGGCCTGGGGAAGGATATCAGAAGAAGACTACGTGAAGGTGGCTAGTTACGCCTGTTGGTATGGCGGGATGAAGAGGGGGATTCGTGAACGGAACTGGGGTGGGAAAGTAGAAGGGTAAAGCCATGTAGTGAATGAGGTCAATAGATGGGTGTGTAAATCGACAGGGGGGGCAGTGAGAGCACAGTTGCGCTGGTAGGACTGGGTTCGTAGTATCTATGGGCGCATCTAGTGTTGTGGAGGGGGGACAGAGGGAGAGTCTTTAGACTCAGTGGAGAGAGGAATGAATGAAGGGAGTGAACGGGTTGGGGACGAACATAATAGGGCGGTGAAAGGACAAAAGAAATAGCTCTGAATAAGTTTGTCAGGGTAACTACGGTGTTAGGTATGGGGGATCAATGCGGGGAAAGAAGAAAAGAATTGCAGAATTAATTGGGTTGGATTAGCAAAGCAGCTAGTAGAGATCAGGGATACCCTTGGGCGGAAGGATCAGGCCGGGGGGGCGAGTGGAGGGGGGGGGAGGATGACAGAGGATGCGAGAGAGAGATCCAATATTCGTATTTCATGGCAGAGACAACAGACGCCATCCGCCCACTTGAATTGCGAAAATCGAAGGCCAGAATTATAGTGGAAAATTCCGCTTTTGATATTCAAGACGAATTCACTCTCAGGCACATTGTCGCCTTTATGTAGGAATATAAAGAAGACAAATTTTCAATCATTCGGAAAAAACTAGGGCCGGCCAAAGCTACAAGGAAAAGAGGGGGGATGAGAGAATATTTCGGTGCTA